GGTGCAGAACGTCGAAGGCAGAGGTTCCGGAGACCTGCTCTCCCGATCGCCGGTGCACGCCGGCGAGCGGGATGGAGTAGTCTACGAGCGACGGCGCAGTACAGAGTAGGAGACAAACCCTAGATTGATTTCGCAAGTGTTGCGTGAAGACGGCAAGTCGGTTTATATAGAGAAGGGTCGCTTGATCAGGGCGTCCGCACGATCTCTACTGCGCGTAACCGAACCGGATAAGTCGCGCGTAACTTATCCGGACTCCACGCCGTTTGCACGCACCGGATTTTTCGGAACGTTTCCAAAACAAAAACGAATCCGAATTTGCAGCAAAACAAAACTGCAAAAGGAGGCTGCATCTGCGCAAGGGTGAGGAGCCAATTTTTCGGACCATTCGACGCGTACGTCGTGCACGCGCGCCGCCTGCCCGGCCAGGCGAGGCGAGCCAGCGCGCGCGTGTGTTTCCCCTCTTCTCTCCATCACACATGCTTCAAGTGGCTAGGAGGGCATCCTCCCTTTTAAGGAGGTCCCCCTCTCCTAGAATAAGCAAGGTGGTACTAAACTCCACATGCATGCCATCCCATAAGGTGGGCTTTTGTGATTTTCCAAAGAATTAATCTTCGAGTGGGCTAAGGCCCATTCATTAATTCCAACATAAAGTATTGTGTTGTTTCCAAGATCCTAGAAAATCATCTCCATGCATAATCATGATGGCATTGTACGATACAAGCTAAATATGGGATCATCCCAACAGCTAGTACGACACGACAAATGTGGTGACACGACAAATGTAGATGGGTTTAGCTAGACTTTAGACACTGCATTTCGGAGGTTAATTAATCAGAGTGAATGTGGTTCCAGATCCAGTAATCTGGGGTTGAGTAAATTAGAAAAAAACAGAGCTTTAGGCATGTATAAACAATGAGTAAATTTGAGGATGATTAGAGAACTCGATCGAACACTCTAGGACATATTTGAAGGGGAGTCTGTGATGTGCAATAATAGGGGGTTTAGTTTCAAGCTAGGGTCTTGTGACATAAACGAATATTCTAAGTGAATAATTGTGACCGCTCCCACGAATATATGTTTTTTTTCTCACTATTTATATATGTAAAAATAAAAGAGAGGGTTTTGTACGTAAGAGCAAGACCCCGGCCATCCTCCCAAGGATCCAAGGCCATGTTCCTATTTCTAACATGCAGGATATGGAGCCATCTTCATCATACAAGCAAGGTTCGAAGACGCTTCAGAGAACCGTGGTCCAAAGATGTTGTAGAATGCTAGAGAATCAAGGAGGCTTTGAGGGTTAAGATATTCAAAGACACTTAAGAGGACTCTGAGCATTTCAGCATAATTCGAGAACTCAAATTAACACTCGAAGTCATATTCGATGGAAAGTCTGTGAGGTGCAATAATAGAGGGGTTTTAGTTCAAAGGGTCTTGTGACATCAACAAATATTCCAAGCGAATACTTTCACGAAAAGCGACATAAATCACATGTTACCTTAATATTATGGTCCTAACTACTAAAGAATATATAATAGTACTCTTGGGGCATTCCACGCTACAATATTTTTTTAATGTTTAGGCCGATGTAAAGGAAGCTAACGAATAGTGAAAAATACAGAACGATTTACAGATGTTTATTTGTTTTTTTCGATGAACTACAATTAGTCACAGTCACACTCAATACGCGTTATGCATAGTACACTACTAATGTTGGTACCTACATATATGATATATGAGTACATGAGAGTACATGCTTTTTCACACGCTTGAAAACTATGTCGAATAATATAAACACAAGTCCGTATGCAATATGTTTGCTGTAAAAATTTCTTGTAACTCTCTCCAAGCTCTTAACAAAATTTCATCTGTCCTGCAAAAAAAAATGGAAGTACGTGCATCCTCTATGTAGATTCTATACAGTTAATTACTACAATTCAGCATCTGCAATTACTCCTATAAGAAAAATGTGTCAGGCCACATCATCAAGAAGATTTTTTTTAAAAAAAAAACGAAGCCAGCAAAGCTGGTGTTATATATATTAAGTAGGGGAGAAAAAAAAGTATTTACAAGATCGCAAAACGGGTGAAAGAGAGAAAGAGAGAGGAAAGAAGAAGCTACTAAACAATGAAAACATCCTAGGCGGATAATCTCGCGATATTTGTTGCTCCACATATCTTTCATAGCTTGATTTTATCCTGTATCTTGTCTAGCAGCTGCGGATTTATCCTGATTTTGAAATACTCGTCTGTTCCGCTCACACCATATTTTCCATGCTACCAGTATGTCGACTGATTGTTTTTTCTTTGGCTCTGTCTTTTCCACCTCGAGATGTCCTTCTGATCCACCAGTCCAGCAGTGGCACATTTTCATCATGTGTCTAGTCAATTTTATTGCAGTTCAGCCTACCTAGGACCCTCTCCCAAATATATCGCATAAAAGGGCAATCCTTGAAGAGATGTTGAGTTGTTTCTAGATTCCTGTAGCACAGTTGACAGAAATAGTTGTTTGGCCATTGCCTGATCTGTAGCCAATCCGCTGTCCAAATTCTATTTTGTAGCAATAGCCAGGCACAGTGTTTGCATTTGGAGGGTGCCCATTGCTTCCAGATTAGTTTTGATGCAGCTGAGCTCATCCTTCCGTTGAATTGCGCTATATAGGCATCAAGAAGATTTGATTTACTATTTTCTTTCATTCTCGTCTACTAGCATTTTCTTAATTGTTTATTTTATGGGTAATTTTACCATTCTTAAAAAATACCGGGAGTTATCATATTTTTCTAGTGTAAATCAAATTTGGTATCTTCATATACTTTTTTAAGGACAATAAAATTTCTTATTTTATTTCATAAAAATCTCTGCAGCAACGCGAGTACTCACTCAACGCATAACCGCGCATCTCACTAGTTTTAAGTTTAGACCATGAAGGACAGTAATGCGCTTCGTGCACACCTGCACGTGCGCTATTTGGTTATGAACCAGAACCAACTTCCGGAAAAGAGGACCTATTGCATGCTACTTGGTGAACCAAATCAATTGGTTGTGATTTCCATTCTTTTTCGATTTTCTTCTTTCCCCGTTTTTTCTTTCTCCATGCCAAATTTTGTCCTGGCGCATTGACGGCATGGACTGTCGGAACTCGGAACTAGCTGCACAGACTACAGATGATACGAATCCGTGGCCATACCGCCTCTGGCCCAAGTTGCAAAGCGAGACTGCTTTGCCATCTCCACCCCTTTGCACCTCAAGGCCCAAACAGAAAGGCCACGGTAGCAGTAGCTAGGCCAGGTCCCCGCGCTAACACCCAACACGCATTGCCTGCAATGTTGCGTAGGCTGGCCAGCTGCCGAGATTGATCAGACGATCAATGCACTCCCTCCAATTAACCTAGAGAAACCGAACAAGCCAAGGAGAGGAGTAGTATATCGAGGCATTGAATTCCCCCCTCCTTTTTGTCCAACAGAAGCAAAGCAAGCACGCACACACGCACGCAGCTCTAGCTACGACCTTTAGCTCATCGTCTCGTCTCGCATCATCAACCAGGCCACAGGCCACACACCAGCTCGGTTCCAGTTGTCCGCGCGCTCAGCTCGTGGCCGCGGCCGGCTGCTTAGCTTAGCTCACGCGGGCACGCAGCCGTTGCCGCCCAAACCATTCGACGGTCGGGAGCCACACACAGGTTTCCGCCTTTCCGGCCGCCCGCCGCAACCGTAAGCTAAAGCTTTAGCCCCCATGTCGTCACCGCTTGCAGTTATTGCGTTCTCGCGCTCATCCTTCCTGGCGGACCAAATTAACGAATTGCAGGAGACAGTACAGGCGGCTCTGGTTGGTTCGGTCAGATTCAGATGCGTCTCGCATGTGCAACGACGAGTGCAAAGGTGCGTGCAGCATCGTGGTATGTTCGCACCATATAAAGCATGAGAAAAGAGGCGATCGAACGAGTCGGTACGGTGTGTGTGGCTCATTGAATCGTGTGCTAACTCCAACCTACTCGTTAATTGGCACAAACTACGTACACCGTACCCACTAGTCTTCCCATCCATCGAGCGTGAAGTACTAGTAGTACGTGTTTTACGCACCCAACTAGTGAACCAATTGATGATGAGATGAGGAGGAGGCGAGTGACCACAGCTGGAGATAAACCGGCAGAGATCATAACTACACAGCGCACAGAGAGAGCAATACGCAACATGCAGAGGCAAGCTAGCTGGAGATGCTAAAGCCACGGGCGAGGAAACAAAACGAAACCGATGGAGGTGGAGAGATCAGAGATAGAAAGGACAAGGAAAGGCTCCGCCACTTTTGCGAAAGCCGCAAATGGGGTCAGCGAGAGAGAGAAGAGAGACGACCCCCTATGTTTCTTCCAGGTTCCCAACCGCTCATAAAACTCGCCTACCAGCACCCGAACCGCACTCGCAGGCAGTAAAAATTGATCTCTCGGAGCGGTGGACACATCTTCTTTTTTTAACACTGATAGACGTACTATAATTTTATTACAAAACTTTTACTAACACATATTTCTCAACCGTTTTGATTTAACTAATAAAAATTATAAGAAATTTAGATTTACTCACGGCTTGTCACATCAGAGTTTGTAAGTATTTTGTAAAAAATATTTGTACGTACAGAATTTTTCCTTTTTCTTTTTTTTTTCCCACGGAAGACGACTACTCCACCAACGTTTCTAGCCGATCGAATCCGTTTTCGCTTTGCCTCTCGGGGCGGTGAAGGAAAGGATCGGGGGAGGCTGCGGCGGACGCGGTTTTCGATCGCTTGCACTGGCACGCACCATCGGAATCAATGCCGAGTTGATCGGCTCCGCGAAGCGAATTGGCGCCCGGAGACCGAGAGGTATAGCTGACGGCTGACGCTAGCTGGTCGCTGGGGGAGGCGGAACCGTGCAACGGAAACGTTCGTTCGCGACCGCGGAAGTAGCCGCCACGGGACAAAAAGGTGTCAGGACGCTCGCGCCGTTGCGCGCGAGCACACGATTGCTGGTGCCTGCGACGTTTTCATCAGCACTACTCATCAGCAAGGTGGTTGTGTGGGAAGAGACGGAAATTTTCGGTCATATAGTAGTACCCATCACTATAATAAGGAAAACGGTATGTACACGTACTACGTACAAAGCTACTTGAGCACGAACGAATAAAATCTTGGTTGATTAGGCTGCCTCTCGATCTACGACGTCGATCCTAGCTAGGTTTCACTCTAGTCTCGTCACTGTAGCATGTAGCTTTAGCTACTTCCTCAATCATGCGCTGACGCTTCCCGAGGCGGGCGCGGCGGTCCATCCGGAGGCACGTACGGCGGCGACTGGTAGGCAGCAAGCTAGACAGGTGGCAGTGGCAGTGCCTCTGCCGCCGCCGGTGGGGCTGGTGCCACGACGGGGGGCGTGTCGGTGGCGCCGCCGCCGGAGCTGGCCTTCTTGGCGATGGCGGCCGTGGCGGGGCCTTCGACGGCGGCGCGGCACATGGGGCACGTGGAGTGCGCGCGCAGCCAGGCGTCGACGCACTCGGCGTGGAACAGGTGCCCGCACTTGGGCAGCTGCCGCACCTTCTCGCCGGCGTCCACCTGCCCGAGGCACACGGCGCAATCCAGCGCCGCCGCCGCCGCCGCCGAGGCCTCGTACCCGAACGTCGGGAGCGCGGCGATCGCGGCGGCGCTCATGCCGTGGCTGTTCGCCTCGGGCGCCTCCTGATCCGCGGACGCCGAGCCGCCGCCGCGGAGCTGACGGCTCCGGCGGCGGCGGGTGCAGGTGTACCAGATGGCGAGGTAGACGAGGAAGGAGAGGATGCCGATGGAGAAGGAGAGCCCCATGAACAGCAGCCGCGCCCGCGTGCTGTACTTGGAGTTGTCTGCGAACAGCCACGAGTTGGGCGTGTTCATGGTCCGCCTCTTTCTTGGCTTCTCACCGTCGAAGACGGCAGCGGCAGCAGCAGCACAGCAACTCCACTCCCCTCGCAATCCAATGAAGTCCTTTGGTTTGGGATTGGAAATGGCAACTCCGGTGAAGTGGACGTGAAGGCGAAGCAGCTGGGTGTGGGGCGCTTGTAATTGGCGGCCGGAGCAAGCTGCGGAGATGGACGTTTGCTTTGTGTTTTGGTTCGCGTTTGCTGGGGCAAAGGGGGGCGCCGGGGCAATATATAAAGGAGGAGGCGGGTCAGTGCTAGCTGGTGGTGGCAGCTTCAGCTGCACGGTGCGCAACTCGCAACAAAAGGTGACGTGAGGTCGGCGGGGCCGTGAGCAAGTGAGCGCGCGCGAGATATTTATGCGACGCCGTCTCGGTGTGGCTGGCTGCTTGCGCGCTGCCCTGGCCTGTGGGAAGATTGCAATTTTCTATCAGAGCAAGTCCAATAGTAGAGTCAACTAGCTGCTATAAATCATCTATAACCAATATTTAATAACCAATTAATACAATAGTTGCTTACTATAATATTAATATCTGGTCTCACCTGTCATATACACATTGCGTTTGGAATCCGTACTGCAGCTAGCTACAGATATATAGCCCGATGCTCTTCTCTATCATCTTTATCTTTCTAAAATATATTTATAGCTGGCTAATAATCTGCTATTGTGCTCTAAGGCAAATCGAGAGAATGGGGGCTGTGCCTGTAGCATGTGTGCTCCGCAGTCGATCTTGCAGTCGGAGCCCTGCTTGTTTGGGGCCGTGACTTATAATTCTGCAGTTAATTTTTTTTGTAGTGGTTTAGTTTGAAATGAGGTCGATTTTCTATTTATACCTTATTGAGTAAATTTTGTTTGATTCAAATGCTACTTATTTAGGTCCACACCCATGAAAGTTACCTACATTATTTAGCTTGTGCTATCAAAAAACATTTATCTAACAAATATTGTGAAAAATAACCAATTTTGTAGTTTATAGTGGAAAGATGAATTCCGAGCAAAGTAGATACATAGCTTTTTCCATCGTTTCGATCACTTCAACTCGTTTTATATTTTTAACAAAGAGTACAAAAATAAAAATCTTAAAGATAACATTACTTTGGGACAATCATAAATTTACCACTGGTTTAAATCATTATTACAAGACTGTCACTGGAAACAAAATTATAAAATGTCAGTAGAATTATCATTCGAGTGACATCCTTATAAAATTGAATAAACCAGTGAAAATTTTATAATTGCCCCTATTATTTTCCATTGGTTTACTACGTCACGTGTGTAGTATTCTTAACAAGCACCATAAAAAATATCTTTTCAAACAGGCTAGCCTCGAAGGTGTAGCGCCCGTTCCGTCGTGGCGCATAGCGGGAAAATTATCTCTTAAAAAACCCTAATTGCGAAATTTGTTTCCTTGCTTGTTGTCTAGTGTCCGTGCCATCCCGGATCTCAATCCCCGATCTATCGTCGAGTCCAATTCCGAATCCAAATCCTTCCAAATCAAATCCCTCCGCAAAAGTCTATTTTGCCTCCCCCGGGGTCGATGGGCCGAATCCCTCTCGGCCCATCTCCCCCTCCCTCCCGGCGTCCGCTCTCTCTCTCTCTCTCTTTCCCCCCCTCCCCCTCCGCTCCGCCCGCGCGCCGCGCGCGCGTGCGCGAGAGCCGCGCCGAGCGCTCCCTCCCCCTCCGCTCTGCCCGCGCGCGTGAGCCGCCCGCGCCGAGCCGAGTCCTCCCTCTCCGCTCCCTCGCTGCCGCTTCCCGCGCGCCGTGTTCGCGTGCGCGCGCCCGCGCGGTCGCCGCCCGTTGCTTCTCGCGCGCGCGTGCCGTGGTGGCCGACCGCCTGGTCGCCGCCGTCGTCAGCGCCTGCCGCGCCTGTCGCTCGTGTCGCCGCTCCGCTCCACACCGCCCGCCGTCATCGCCGTCGTCATCGCCTCGGCCCCGCCACTCCGCGCGCTAGCCTCCAAGGGGCGGAGGCAGAGCCCCTCTCCCTCTGCCGCGTCGCTCCCGCTCCCCTCATTCTTTTCCCCAAAGAAGCATGGGGGCAAGCCCCCTTTTCTCTCCCTCTTTTTCTTTTCCCCTTCCCGCCGGCGTCATCCTCCCTCCGCCCTGTCGCCGTTTTGGCCGCAAGCGCCGAGCGCCAGCTCGCGCCTTGACTGTCCAATGTCGGTTCCCCTCTCCCAAACCGACATTGCCGCCCATTTAAACCCAAGCCCTCCCCCTCCAATCTCCCTCGTTTTCGTCTCTCGCCGCCACTGTCGCCCCTGTTCGCCGTCACCGTTCGTCGTCGCGTGTGTGCCGGAGGAGCCGGTGCGCACTAGGACGCGGAAGGGGACTCCGGGCGCGCCCTCTTCTTCCTCTTCCCCGGCCTGAGGCCGGAGAGATTACTCCCGAGCCGTCGGCCTCTCGTCACAGCGCCCCTCCTCACCTCGGTGATGCCTCCCTCCGTTCTTTCTCCTCGCTCCATCTCCCCCCTTAGTTTTCGGTGGTAGCACGAGTAGCCTCCCCGTAGCTAGCCGGCGCCGCCCCGACCGTTGCCGTCGCCCGCCGTGTGCTCGCCGCCGTCGCCGCTCGAGCTCCGTAGCACCCGCTCGTCGCCAGCCTCGCTCGGCGTAGCTCCACCCAATCCGACGCTAGCATCGGATTCCCGTGGCCGCGTAGATGCTCTCACCGCCGGGAATCGGCCCCTCGTGACCTCGTCGCCGTTTCCCTCTTCCCTCCCCGCCGGTTGCCGCCGCCGTGATTCGCCGCCGTCAAGCTTCCTCCGGCGAATCCGAGCCATTGGCTCGTCTCCCCTCGTCTCGTGCAACCACCCGGTGTGCTCGCTTTCGCCGGTATCGCCGTGGTTCGCTCCGCCGCTCGCCGCTGTTGCCCGCCGTCCGTTCCGGCCGGCGTCGTCGTCTACCTCCCGCCGGCCCGCGTGGCAGCCACGTAGGCGCCACGTCGGCGCCAGCTCAGCCGAGGTCGGGACGGGCCGACCCCGGTCAGCCCCTCCCATGCGCGCGTTCCACCGCGAGCCGTGAGGCTGCGCGTGGGCCTGCCGCATCCGTTCCTCCGCAGACCGCGCGCGTGCACCGCGTCCCTCCCCCGCCCGCGCGCGTGCGCCGCGTGCTCCCTCCGCACGGTGAGCCGAGCCGCTGACAAGCGGGTCCCACCCGGGACCGCGCACGGTGAGCCCGGTCCACCGGCCCTCTCTCTCCTCCCCTCCCGCGCGCGCGCACTTGGGCCGCCTTGGGTCGGCCGGCCCATTTAGCTCGGCCGGTCCGCTCCTTTTTCCCTTGGGCCGCGCCCTAGCCGCCCGAGGAGAAGTCTATAATCCCTCCCTCTTTTCCTTTTATTTTCTTTTTCTTTTCCAAAAAGGATTTAATTAAATCCTTTTCCTTTAGACCAAAAATCCAATAATCTTAGAAATTCAATATCTTCCCAACCGTAGATCCGTTTGACTCCGTTCAACTTCCAAAATTCCTCAAATCTCGAGATCTATCTAATGGCACGCTTAGAGGTCATTATTAGGGCTTCATTTTCGCCGTTTGTTGAGTTGTCCCGTTTCGCATGTAGTTTCGGAGCCCAAAGACCCGCAACGCGAGGATTTCGAGGATCAAGCTCCAGACCTCGAGCAAGGCAAGCCACCTTTGAACATCTTGAGCCTATATTTGAAATTTAATTATGTTGCTTGCAAAATATTATGCATTGATAGGATCGCACTTAATCTGTTGTCCCGTCTGTAAGGCAGATTGGCGGATCTACCTAGTTTGTTGCATTTGATCCTTCCTTTGTTAATTGTTATACCATGTTCCCTTGTAACCTCCCAGTTGCGCCTCTGAAATCGTGCAATCTGTGCGAGTACCGAAGGGCGCCTTCAAATTTAAAATCTGAGCAACTTCTTGGGTAAAACTTGAGTTTTACAAAAGACTTGGAAAACCCGACACCTGGGTCGGTGCTTGCGAACTAAATGGATTTTCTAAAACCGCGGACCGGGGAACGTACCGGGTGTACGGTTTTCCCGCTCTTGCACTTAAGGACCGTTTCCTTGGAATTTCATCCGAACATAAGACAAGTACGACCACATGGGTGGAATGGGACACCCCTGGCTGAGTAACTAGCTTATCAGGGGAGCCTTGATGCCGAGAGACATGTGGATTCGCCGGGGTGGTGTCGGGGAGGACCCCTGGGCTTCCTGGCACAGTATGGTCTGGGACCTAACCTGTTGTTGGTCTGGGACCCCTCTCGTCGGCATATGGTAAACCTGTGTCGGCTTTGGAAATGCCTTGTCATGAAAGCTTGGAGGTCTCCCGACGTGGCTGATCCCCACGGGCTGGGTGATCCGGGTTAGTAATGTCGTGTGGGTAAAGTGTACCCCCTCTGCAGAGGTTAACAAACTGTTCGAACAGCCGTGCCCACGGTCATGGGCGGATGTGAGGTGATTCCTAGCGTAGTTTTGTTTGACTACTGGTTGTGAAATTGCTGTTGTGGAAAGGGGTTCGCTGTTTGAAAAATCTGCAGCTGATGGGATCAGCTAGGCCCGGGTGGCCGTTTGAAAGTTGTTGGCCCGGGTGGCCGTTTGAAAAGCTGTTGGCCGGGTGCCAACCTTGTTTTAAATTTTAAAGACTGATACATTGCACATACTCCGACCGGACGAGACGCACCGTCTCAACCGTGTCGTTTGAGAAGCACTCACTTAGTTGTTTTTAGAAAAAGAGTTCAAATAAAATCAACTGCAAAAACAACAGCCTTTCCTTGAAGCCTGCATTAAACATCTATTTTCCCTTGGCTTGCTGAGTACTCCCGTACTTACCCTTGCTCTATATAAATAATTCCCCCCCCCCCAGTTGCTGAAGAAGATGAAGCGGATCCTGCTGATGAGGAGTTCTTTCAGGAGCAAGCCGGCTACGATGAGTTTTAGGGTTTCGGCCTAGTTCCCAAGTCGCGCCTGTGTTGTTTGGTCCAAGTCCTGCTTCCGTTTCCCTTTTGTAATGCAGTTGTGAGCTCGGGATCTGTCCGTAGCCCAACATGACTGTATCCCTACTCTATAATGAAGAGACCGCTGTTGCTGTGATATTCTGTCTCCCTGTGATACCAGCACTGTTTCCTGGGACTGGTATCGATCAACAGGTTAATTTGGAGCGTCACGAGCTAGTTCCGGTCGGTACTAGTTCGGGGCGTGACAGAAGGGTTTAACTTGTTGACGGTTAATATGAGCATGTTTGACAGCTTTTGATAACTTCTCTTAGGTCTGGTTTAGTCCCTAAAAAATTTTATCAAAAATATCACATCAAATCTTTGGACACATGTATGGAGCATTAAATATTAATTAAAAAAAACTAATTGCACAGTTAGAGGGAAAAACGCGAGATGAATCTTTTGAGCCTAATTAGTTCATGATTAGCTATAAATGCTACAGTAACCCACTTGTACTAATGACGGATTAATTAGGCTAAAAAGATTTGTCTCGCGATTTTCGGCGAGTTATGAAATTAGTTTTTTCATTTGTGTCCGAAAATCTCTTCCGACACCTGGTCAAACATTCAATGTGAAACCCGAATTTTCTTTTCGCGAACCAAACAGGCCCTTAGAATCAAAAGTTTTCCTAAAAGGTATAGCTTTCAATTCATATTTTGAAAAATTATAGTTATAGAATCTAGAAAATGAACTAAAAGTTAGGAGTTGGATTTCTCAATATCTCAGATTCTTAAACTTCTAAAAACTAATTACCAACCAATTGTTTCTCAAAATTAAGTTCTTTAAAGAGAGCCTTCGTATACTCTCGAAGTAGTCCATGCACGTAAACATTATTGTATAATTTTAATCTAAAAACTCAGCAAATTTATATATGTATTTCCTTCGTCTCAAAATAAATTCATTTCTCATTTATCCCACACATACCAATATACTCTATATATATAAAGAAAACTAAATACTCCTACTTTATCAAATCCAAATACAACTATTTCTCACTTTATTTATTACCAATATAATTATTTTCTACTTTCATAAACTCTCAATGCAATAACTATATTTGAAAATAAATTTGTTTTAAGATAAATGTGAGGTGCTAAAATTGAACGGAAGGAAACTTTATGCCAGTAGTTGAGTTGACGTGGCGTTTGGTGTTCAACCCCTTTGGCTTCTTGATGCGCACTTGGCTAACCTTGAATTACTTTGTTTTTTTTTTATCACTGAATATCCTTTGCTTGGGTTAGCGGCTTGTCATGACTCATGATGCTTTGCTTGGTCATTTTCTCTATTGCGCATAAGACACGTACGCACGCATAGTACACTCACACAACTGTATGTAAATACACTCTTTAAATAACGTTTAAATAAACAGAGAATAACGATAATTTAATCCCTAACCTTACTAATACACCCATGACTTTACCATTACACCACTAATACTTTTCCATAGCTTTGTCCTTTTTGTTAACTAGCGCTGATCAGCGAGGTTTGCACGTTTATGCACGCCAGCATGAATAATATGATCTCCGTGTCAACAAGCCGTTGTGAACTCGTGATGCCGTCAAGAAGCTGTCGATAAGTTTGGCGTTCCTCGTTGCTTCCTCGGTTTGAGACTTTCTAACATTAATCATATTAGCATATATATGAATATGGATAATACTATAAAGTCTGATATTGTAAAACGGAGGAAGTAGAAAATTAGCACTTTAGTGGTCATAATTTAACAAGCTGCATTATTTGTTTCATGATAAGAAAGGTTCATTGATTGCATCACTAACCCAGTAGTGGAGGCTGCTCGGCTGCAAATCAATATTCCAGTGTGGTCTCACGTACGCCTTTTGGGCTTTTTAGCCTTTTTAGCACACAGAATTAGCGAGCGGCCATCGCGAGATCGATTTAGGAATCACAAGTCGATTTGAAGTACTAAAATTCTCAATCGTGTTAACAAAAAGGAGCACTAATCTCAACATCGAAATAGTAGAGCAGTATTGCAGTGTAGCATTTTTCACCCTGTTTCCAGTACTGCCGAAGCGTCAAATTCTTGATGGTCATGTGTCAGCTGGTGACTGCAAAATGGACAGTGATTGATTCAGAGGCTGGCTGTTAGGTGCAGCACCTGATTGCCCTGGAATGGCACCACTGACGACACTTAATCATCCGTGTGTCAAAAGGGTTCGGAAAAGTGCACCCAGGTAGTCTTTGAGTTTTCATCGACACGGGCAAGAGGCCAAGGAGCTCACGCAGACTTGACAATTGACAGGTTATGGAATGCAGACGAGCAAAACTGACGGCTAGCGTTCGGATGGTTATTCTTTCTTTGGGTTCATGACAGGTCCATGATGCATTTCCTGCTTCTGCTTTTAAGTGATTAAGAATGGTACAGTGATGAACGCATCAGTATCACGCGTTTACTAGTGTCCTTTTCAGACGTTAGTATGGTAAGCATGCTGATGTCGGGTGTACATGTACTGTATTTGTTGAGTTCAGGATTCCTGTGGTTCTAATCAATTCAGCAAGATGCCTCTGTTACTAGAAAAAGAAGAGAATAAACTAGCACGCAGTTTAACCACAAACACGGAAAAAAGAATGGAAATGACCTGATGACCTGAAGGTCCTCACAAGGAGAATTTAGCGACTCCGGACACTATTGCAATATGCGCTATGCTTGGTTCTCGTAGATTCAGATGCTGCACTAGCATCTCTGCCCACAGGAAGATAAGATCTGTACTAAATTCTCTTCCAGCAAAATTAGCCAAACAGAGGCCGGTAAGCCCATGTACTACTACAGTAGTAGGAAAAGATCTCACTATCTTCTTCAAGCTGCAATGATTCGACACGAAAGGTGAGGGTTAAGACCCTCCCCTCTTCTGAACATGTCCCCAAAATGTTTACCTTTTGTCGGTCAAAATCGCTTCTTTTTCTCAAAGAGAAGCAATGGATCGTGCACTCACGTCCCACCCTACCTTTCCGCCCTCAGTTTCTGGTTCCGCCGTTGTGAATGTGACGAAGGTACCGCCGGGATTCGTTGGAGGATTTGCGCACAAGCTGGCCCGGTTTATGCCCTATCAAAGTGGCATGGCGTGGCATGGCATGACATGCTGCCGCTGAATGTTGACGGCACAAGTTGAAATGGCCCTGGGTAGTAGTGGGTACAGTGAGCCTATTGCTCAGGAAGGGAATAAGTTCATCTAACGTCCCTTAATTTTACACCGAATCCGATTTTCATCCTTTAACCTCAAAACCAGATACAACTTGTCCTAAACTGTCAAAACCGGTGCAAACAATGTCTCTCGGTGGTTTGGAAGGCGGTTTTGGCTGACGTGACGCCTACGTGGCTGGTTTGACTAGGTCTTCATCCCACGTGGCGCTGACGTGGCAATTATATCTTGGAAAAAATAAAAAACGGTGGGCCCACATGTCAGCTACACACAAAAAAAATAACTACAAAATGGTGGGGCCCACGTAGGCCCCCCACATGTCATCCTCACTTCTCCCTTCTTCCTCTCCCCTCTCTTTTCTTCCTCTGCGCCGGCTACATCAGGGACGTGTTCGACGCCGCCATGAACAGGACGAACAGGCCGCTTCCAGCTCCTGTTCTCCGACGTGGACTTCGTCTCCGGGTACGGCAACAAGCCGGAGTAGCCGCTGAACAACACCAATGTGGTGGACGCCTTCGTCGCCGGCAGGTTCCGGGAGCACGTCGCGGTGCTGCTGAACGCTACCGCGCACGATGGTGTACGCTCTGGTGCAGTGCACCCGCGACATGAATTTTATTTTATTTTTTTCAAATGTTCACCATATGCTGATTAATTTGTTTCTCTTGCTTGGTTGCTGCATGATTTTGGTCGTGGTGCAGAACAATCGGGTTCTGGTGTCCCCTCCGGCGTTGTCCTCCACCTCGGCGTCGCCCTCCGCTCTCGGCTCTGGGAGGCCGTCGGTGATGGGGAAGCGACGACGCCGGCTTTGGTGAAGCGACTAGACAACACGAGCTCGTGGCTCGCCACGGCTTTAGCTCCTTCGTTCCTCTTCCCCTTTCCTATACGCGCGTGCCCCGGGGGGAGTGAGGCGCGGGGACAGCGGCAGCTCCGGGACATGGAGCAGAGGGGCGCGGCGGCGGGCGAGCGGAGTCGTCAACGCCCGCCTCCCCCGCAGCGGCGTCCGGCGCCGGCCGAACCTGTCCCTCCTGGCCGACCGTTGCACGACCCCGCGTGAGCTCGCCGTCGTCCACGCCGCCATGCTCGTCTCCGGCCGCCTCGCCGACGACGCCTTCGCGGCGACCCGCCTTCTCGCCGCCTACGCCGTGCTCTCCCCTCCCGACGCCGTGCTCCGCCTCTTCGCCACGAGCCACGAGCGGCGGCCGGAATTCCGTGCGGAGCGCCGTCGCAACGAGCTCTGCCGCCTCGTGCTGGCTGCTGCGTCGGCGCAGAGGCAGCGCAGGGGGAGGAGGATGGAGGCGGTGGTCCGGCGAGGGAGGAGCCTGGTAGCTGAGGCGGCGGCGGCGGTGAGGTTGCCGAGGTCGCCGCCTCGCAGCCTCGCTCGCCTACAGGAAGAAGATGAAGAAAAGGGAGAGGGAAGAAAGGGGGTGTGAGGATGACATGTGGGCCCACGGATTTTATTATTTTTATGAGATATAATTGCCACGTCTACGTCGCGTCAGCGCCATGTCAATGCCACATGAAACAGAGACCTAGTCAATTCATCCACGTAGGCGTCACGTCAGTCAAAACCACCTTCCAAACCACCGAGGGATCTCGTTTACCCCGGTTTTAACAGTTCAGGACCGTTTGTATCTGGTTTTGGGGTTTACGGACGAAAATTGGATTCGGTGTAAAATTAAGGGACCTTAGATGAACTTATTCCCTCAAGAAATAGACTAGTAGTCACATATGGGCTTGTTTGTTAGAGCCTTTTGGGCCTTGAGTGTAAAACACAACTAGTTCTATTTTTTTAACGGAACAGGCCCAACAGTCCAAGATAAATGAAATGAAATTAACAAACAATGGCTGAATGAGTTGCGACTCTCTTTCTGTTGACCGATAAAATTACACCAGCGAGAAAACGCTTTCTGTACGTACTACGAATGAGAAAGAGAAAGAAAAATCGAACTAGAATTAGAATGAACAATAGAGATCGTCGAGGTGAGATTTCTCACCCGCTCTCGCGTGAATTCGCGTGGGATCAATTTGCGAGCAAACGTCACTCCACTGTGCCACGAGGCACGTGCCTGCGTCGTGGAGCTGTCGGCCTCGCCGGCACCGGCACGTCGGCGCGGCACAGGGGGCACGTCGGCCGCAGGCGCAGCCAGGCGTCGACGCAGCGGGCGTGGAAGGCGTGCGGGCAGCAGGGGAGCGCGCGCACCGTCTCCCCTTCCTCCACGGCGCCCAGGCACACCGCGCACTCCGCCGCCGCCGCCGCCGCACTACCTCCGCGGCGGGGAGGGAGCACGAAGCAGGGCAGCCGCGCAATGGCGGCGGAGTCGAGGCCGCCTCCCGACGACGAGCCGCCGATCCCGGCGCCGACCGCCGCCTGGAGCTCGCTCAGGCTGTCGACCAGGTGGTTCGCGTAGAGCACCGCGGCGTACCGCAGGACGACGATGGCGAGGGAGAACACCACGAGCTCCAGCGCCAGCCCGTCGTAGTACTGGCCGATCAGTGCGCTCACAACTTCAACGCCGTCCACGGCGCCCACCGTCGCCATTACGACAAACACGTCTCGCCCCGGCACGCCACCGTGGTGTCTGCAGCTGGGGGGGAGAGAGAACCGAGAAACCGAGAGAGGCAGTGAGCTACTGGGAGATTCTTGGAGCGCGCCTACCGGTGGTGAGATGAGAGACGAGAAATATCAACGGTCGCCGCACACGAATTGGGCGGGCGCGCGCTGCTGTTTTTTTTGATACTTGGCTCGCAGATCGGGCGGCGCCGCCGCAGCGGTTTCGGACTCTATCTTCGAGGCAACCACGCGGCCACGCCGACTAAAATAGGTCCAATAAAATACTACTACTACTTGAGTTCTGGCGTTAAGCAACGGCAAGGCATGGCAACGTTGACGTGCAAGTGTTGGGCCGTTCGCGAGGTTGGGAAGTCAAGCCATTGCTGCCGTCACGCGCAATGCTACATAGTGGGCGCGCGCGCGCCAGCGTGCGACGGCGCGAGGAGGGTGGGTGGCCGGTGTGCGGCGCGACGACGGTTGGATTGAGGGGGGAGTACGGTGGCGCCGCGCTATCGGACAACGGGCGAGTAATGGTCGCATGAAGAGTGCACAGGACATGACAGTGTGTACAATCCTAGTGGTAGTACTACTTCAGTATGGGTCGTGCCAGCGTACTAGTACATTGGTTAGCGCTGCGTGGGCCTTTGCCAGGGTGAGGGGGAAATGAAAAAAGAAAAATCAGGTTCAGGAACCCTGATTAGCCCAAAGCACAACGATACGTGTTGTAGTTCGGCGTTGGCATTCGGCTAAATGGTCCATTACTGCTACTCGCCTACTCCATTAGAGAACTGGGCCCCATAAGCCAAGGTTAGTACTATTACATATCACAAGCTGATAAGATAAAGAGGGTGTCTCCTCAATCATCACGATGAACAAAGCCTTAATTGGACACATGACAGGAATCTTTTTCCAGCTGGTTTGGTTTATTTTGATTTCGGACTACTGGGAACTGGTAAGCTTGGAGCAACAAACTGGGGTTCATATACAGTGAAGTTAGTTAGTAATACATCTTATTCCCCGCAATTAATTCCGCAAAAGAAAAGTCATTTTTGGCATATAACCGTAGCTGGAATATCTTTATTAACAAAAATAAGAGGAAAGTTTAATATTAGTATAGGTATTACTTGTATGCTTGAAATTTCCTGTACCATTTGAATTTTGAAGATCTATACATGTACAACATTCGAATCGATCGGTGCCAAATTAGTCTTCGAAAAAGTAGGGGCTAAACCACTTCATTTTGGGCTACAATCGATCTGAGGGCCAGGCTTTTCTCGGCTTTGGGCCGTAAGCACGTAAGCTTAAGGCCCCATTTCATTTTAGATGATAAGCTGAGCTTACTAACCGCACACGAAACAAGGTGGATTATTAAGAGCAAAATTAATCAAGTTTTTAATATAATTATATTTATTTGAAAAATACATTTATTATATATTTTTAAAAAACTTGTATATTTTTAAATAATGAAAATGTTTTACATTATCTAAAACATTTAGTGGTTTGAAAAATGTACCCACAATAATTCAAAGGAGTGCTATTAGCCCGAACATCAGAAAATAACGGGGCCTACAGCCTACTTTCATCAAGTCCCTGACATACAAACAATGGGAATGTTCAGAAATCAGAAGCGATGGCTGCCAATTGGTACAGGAAAGCCAACACACATTTTTTCAAACCGGTTGTGCTGCGTAGCTAAATGCATCCACAGCAGCTGATGCCGAACGGAGCAATTACATTTCATCATTGATTCGTTCAAGACTTCAAATTATACACTATGTTTCTTCTTCTTTTTTACATGCAAATTCTAATGAGAATCAATCTATCATTTTCTTATTTTCTAATGACCGCTTGCGTAAAATCAAACGGTGTTAAAAAAATGATCACCTCCGTAATGGGGCGCAAAAACTACACATGTCTACCCAAAGGAAAAGGAAAAGATTGAGAATGAAAACGCAAACGCGCGGTCATGTACTCTGTCACGCTGCTATTGCGCCTCCAAGTCCCTCTCGCCATTCTCCAATCTCGCCGGCTCCAGCGCCGACGCCGGCGGCGCGGCCTCATCCTCCGGCGTCTCCGCGCACCTGCCGTCGTCCTCGTCCGGCGGTTTGTTGACCACCACCTCCGCCCGGCACACGGGGCAGGTGGTGTGCGCGACGAGCCACATGTCGACGCAGCCCCGGTGGAAGAGGTGCATGCACCTGGGCAGCTGCCTGGCCACCTCGCCGTCGGCCACCGCGCAGAGGCATATCGAGCACTCCCACCGGTCGCACTCGTCGCCCGTGCCGCGGTACTCGAACTTGGGCAGCGCGGCGATGGCGTCCTCGCCGAGGCCCGGCGCCGGCCGCTTCTTGTTGGTGACGTTCCCGGCCGCCGCCGCCGCCGCCGCCGCCGACGCGGCTGCCACCGTGACCCGGTTCACCGCGCGCCGCATGCGGTAGCACCGTATGGCGCAGAGCACGAGCACGATGACGAGCAGCGAGGCCAAGGAGATGGCGAGGACCTCGAGGTAGGAGGTGGTGGAGCAGCACGCGCGCGGGTTGCTGCTGCTGCTGCGGCGGTACGACAGCCGGGAGAGCGCGAAGCAGGACTGGTCGACGGGGAGGCAGCCGGTGGTGGTCTGCTCGTGCAGGCCGCCCCTGTTGTTGCTGGTGGCGTCGAGGTGGCCGTCATTGGCGCCCATGGCGCGCATGCATGCAGACGTTTGGGCGGGGGGAGATCGATCGAGTGTGGGATAAGGGATAAATTAATAGGTTGGGTGTCTTTTTCTGGGGTTTTATGCATGTTTGTGGTGATGGGAGGGAGCAACCTGCGGCGGGAATGAGGGGGGAGGGGAACAGTGTTGTGGTACATGTTGACCCTTGACAGAATTAGCTTGTTTGTGAGTGATACTACTCTGATGGCTACGAGTAAATAGGAACGTGTGAATCGTGCTTTCACTTCGCTTTCATTGTGCCACTGCTATATTATTTCTGCTGCTTTGTGGAGATGGACTGCCTTCAAATCGGCCTCTAGGCAGGATCGTTCGTCCGTTGCAACCACAGCCATCGAATCCACAGCACCCAGCCCATATAAACTTGGAGGTCCGTGACGCCCGCCCAAACCCCCGAAGTCCTTGGGGTGGAAAACTTTGGGCCAGGCGACAAGGCAATGGCTGCCATGGACTCGGTATGATCTGAACCATTCCAAAGGAATTCACGCCGTCTCTTGTCGATCACCTCAGGAGACAAGACAATCCAATCGTCATGGATGGGTGCACCGGGATAGAAGAAAGAACGGATTGCACGAAAACTAGCCGGCCTGCCAGCCTAGGCCATGAGCTTCCCCTTCCATGACGGCTGCCGATATCTTGTGAACCATATCCACAAGCGGCTGATCCTCTAGTGTGTCTGGATCAGGTTCGAATCCACAGGTGCACATTGTAATGATTTTTATGGATATTTTTTTAAAAAAAATTCACGACTATTTGTGTGGTATTTGAGGAGTGGAGGGATACCTCTTTAGCAATTGAAAGAGTAACTTTGTTGATGTGGAGGGTGCCATGGGTTTTATGAATGCAATACGCATACTCAATGACCTTATCTTGAGTACTGTTTGCCAATTTCAGATGAAGATTCACAAATAGAATTAAATAATTGTGTACTACTTATATTGGGTTGGTAGTTTTTGATTTGTTTCCTCTTCATTATTGGTGTCTTTATATTTATTTAAACTACACTCATTTTGAGTGTTAGGTTATAATAATTGGTTGTAGCTGATTGAGTAAATATCATGATGTTTTATTCTATTATCTTAAAAAAAATACTCGATGACCTTAAATACGATGAAGCAAGGGAAGTGGAGAGGGTAGGAAGACTACATAGCCTGATCCGGTGAATTTTCAAAAAAAAAAAAAAACTACACAGCCTGATCGATGGGCTCTACCATTTCGCTACCATATGTATCAAAAGGGTAAGTGAATAGATTTAATACTACTTCAAGATCTTGCTTTGATTAATTTTGAAATGATTGAAGGGTTGAGAATTATGACAACGACAGCTGAATTCTAAATTCCTTTTTAAAAAACATATTGTTTTGCTTACTGTCAGATTTTCTTTAGCATTTCCTGTATTTTCCTATTATATATTGAGCGAAATCTGTCTCCACCAAAACAACGATATCTTTTTTTTCTTTTGAAAGTTATATGTTGTACTATGTAAAATGGATTCAAATACTTTGGATGATCATACCCACAGATGAGTTAACAAATTCATTTTGCCAATTCACATTTTGCAGCTTCTAATGCCTGATCAGGGAGGTGCGACATGAATATGATAGCTGTGGATCAATAAAATTTTGCGAGTGGTGCCATAAAGAAAGTTGCATGACTTGGTCTAACAATACAACAGATTACAGACACCATTTATTTACTGGAATTATTGGAGAAAATTTCAAAGGGGGATAAAACAGCGTGTACATGTCGTGGTTTCAAGTTAACTGGTTAATTTCATGTTTGCATGGTCAACTATGTCTGAAAACATCTTTACAAAAAACAATGTCCCTAAAAGGGACTAAAGCAACATTTTAACCGCACGTTAGGATGCTTTTTCTTTCTTTCTTTTTTTTGTGTGTAAATGTACATACGTGCTGCCGTGTCGATCACCTCCTAGCTAGAGTCCTACTGGATCGAATCTCAATCTGAATATCTGGTGGATGATATAATTCAATCGATCAGCTGCATGCACTTCCGCAACGATGCTAAAAACTAGAGAAGAATAATAAGTAAATATGAACAAGAAGCGACTAATGTAAATTTCAAAACATATATACAACATTTCACGCTCCTCAAATTTTGTAAATCCAAAAACAAAGCAGAGTTTACAAGGCTCACCGGAAAACGACTGCTATTTACTCTCCAAGTCCGTTTCCGGGCCAGGCGCTCGCGCATCGAGCTGCTCTGGCGGCGCCGACGCGGCACGCGACGTTGACGACGCGCCCACCATTTCACCCTTCAGCATCTCAACCGGCACGACGACGGACATAGACACGCGTGGCCCGACGAGGTCGGGCGTCACCGCTATGCGCGCGACTATGGCGTCGGCGAGCTCGTCGGCCGGCGCGGCCTTCCCGCGGCACACCGGGCACGAGGCGCGGGACGAGAGCCACATGTCGATGCACTCCCGGTGGAACACGTGCCCGCACGCCGGGAGCTGCCTCACCGTCTCCCCCTCGTCGACGGCGCTGAGGCACACCGCGCACTCCACCGACGACGACGACGCCGAGTCCGAGACCTCGCCGTCGTCACGGGCTCGCACGTACGGGAACGACGGGAGGCGCGCGATGGCGGCGGCGTCTAGGCCGAACCTAGGCGGCGTCGGCCGCCGCTGCTCCTGCTCCATGACCAGGGGACGATCACGCCGGCGACGAGCAACGCGGAGTGCTCGAAGGCAGATGAAGATGGTGATGAGGAAGAAGCTCAGGGCGAACGACGCGGCCAACGCGCCGAACAACGTCGTGGTGCTGCAGCATCCGGAGTTGCCGCCGCCGCCGCCGCCGGCCGCCTCTCCTCCCGGCAAGTATGTCGTCGTGCCATTTGACGACGACATGGTGGTGGTGGTGGAAGGAAGGGACTTTTGTGACTTGTGAGACCGTGAACTTAGTAACGAACCGTATATAATGTTGACCTTCGTTTCTTTTCTGTTTAAACGAGAAGACGACGTGTGTGCTGAGCTGGCGCTTGGATTGCCACGTTGTCGCTTGGTTTGGACCAGCTAGGCCCTTGTTTGTTTGGCCCAAGTTGGCGGCCCGCCTAGCAGTACGGTCCGGCCTGCGTTCGCATGGGCCCGTCCCACAGGTTTCAGTTAGCCCATTTCCCAGTTTTACCTTTTCCTATGATGATGATAGCGGTCAGCTCCGTTACAGTATTTTCCGTTCCGTTGACAGTTTTTCGGTACCTTTATTACTGGTGTGAAAGCGAATAAATGTTTGCTATAGTTAGTAAATACAGATATGGAATGAGGTGAATTTATTTGCTTGCTATTGATTTTACGCGTCTTTTTTTTTACCGCGTCTGGCTGTGATTGGTAACGGGCGTTTTCGTCCTCATCCAAGCTCTGTATCTAAAACTGTATACGTACAAGATTATATTATTATATACCCTATAAAAAGGCAGAAGAAAACGTACGCGGTTATCCTCAAAAAAGAGGGGGTTAAAGACGGAGGGGAATTACGGTACAATGCAGACGCTTCTATTGTACGCAATTATCTAGTAACTGCTACAAAAATGTTGACTTGGCGTTGCAAGATTGAAACGGCTTACTGGAAGATAAAAATGAGCTAGTTTGTGCCGGCTAAAATTCGTCTGAAATGCATATGACACGTTGGAATCACACAGGCAGAACGAAATGTGGCCTCCTATTTTGTACAACACGCTGGAAGTATTGCTTGTGGAAAATAATCTTCTATGAAAATTTTGTGTATTGAATGGGGACACTGGTAGGATTTAGGCTGTGTTCGCTAGTCCACGTTCCTAACCGGAACAGTTCGTGCAGAAAACGAAGCGGTCCATTAGCGCGTGATTAATTAAGTATTAGCTAATTTTTTTTAAAAAAATGAATTAATTTGATTTTTTAAGCAATTTTCGTATAGAAATTTTTTGCAAAAAAGCAACATTAAGCAGTTTGAAAAGCGTGCAAGCGGAAAACGAGGAAGAGTCGTTCAGAAAAGGGGTGCCGAAAATAGCCTTAGGTTGCTTGGAAGAGAACTATTATTAGAAAAAAAAAGAATAACTTTTAGTATTGTGGCAACTTAAATGGAATAACTTTACTATGTACCATGTCTTTACGATGTTGAAGCGCCACATTATATTAACGTGGGACCATAGTTATAGTTCAACTAATCATTATACGAAACCGTTGGCTTTAGACATAACGGACTATTCTTAATAATTAGTTGCACCCACATCATTCAAATAGTATTATGTCTTTGCCCGGGAAACCCGGCCCGACCTAATGCTGCTAGGTGAACTTAGGGTTTAAGCGGGGAGCTACAATTTTACGTTGATTTCTTCATAGAAAATAGAGTTTTCTTAGCACACTTGGTTGATCCATACTGTGATGAATTTTGAGTGGTTTAGTGTGCTCATAGGGTGAAACATTGTAATGTTTTCTTATTGAACTTATACATAATGCTACTATTCGTTAGAACCAATTTTCACTGACAAATGGACCCACCATACCCATGTAAAAGGATGACCATCCTGTCAGTGACAATTGGTAGGATTTCTATAGTTTGCATGTTTATCAAAAACACATTGGATAAAATCTTCTTATTATGACACCCCTCATTTCCCTATATAAGAAGGCGGCCTCCCCCTCTTTGTTCTTCATCGAGCTCATTCTTGCTATAGCCACATATACCTCTTAAGAAATCATTTAGTAGTTTCTTCCATCTCCTTTCGGATGCCTGTCTCACCATGACTGGTCTCCAACAAGGTGGCAAGATGTTTGTAGCTCTCGCTTAATGGTTTCCTTCTCCACCAGAGATCTCTGTAATCTCCCTAGCTAAGGTAAACATCCTGTTCTCCATTAGAGGAGATGCATGTTTTCTTCGACATGATTCATATCTATGCATAGCTATATGAACGTATTTAATTTTAGATGCAGGTCTTCATTAACCCATTTTTTAAAAAGGCGACAAAAGATTTACCGTGTTTGTATTGATAGAGTAGTGGAGCTATATGGACGTAGTTAATTTTAGATGTTCACTAACATTTTTTTAAAGAGGCGACAAAAGTTTTACCGTGTTTGTATTAATAGAGCAGTGAACGATTGCGGTAAAATATATATATATACACAGGCCATCCGCCATCAAGTATCATGCCCGTAAAATGATTAAAAAAAATCAGGAGTTATCTCCTAACGAAGGAAACTCACGGAGCTTCGCAGCTCCAGCTTACCCAAGTAGCCACATCTTCCTTAATTTTGATAATGATGCTCTTCTTTAACATGAATCATATGTATGCTTAGCCATATGTCCATAGTTTATTTTTTAACAAAAATGGTAGATGCATCTATATAATTATGTATATACTAGCTATTTGGAACCACTTAACATTAAAAGCAATTAAATCCAGAAACAAGAGTGTAGATCTAGCTATAATTTTTTTTCCAGATCTAGCTATGTTTATATTTTTTAGATCTAGCTTATATGTCTATCACTATAAACTAATCTTTTATTAAATTTCCATTTTAGGGTTCGCCTCTCTCACAAAATCTCTTTTTGGTATAAACCTCCATCGATCCCCTCATCGCCGATCATGCCGAGGAGGGCGAGGAGGACCGGCGCGGCGTACGTCGACGACGAGAGGGAGCGCGACATCACCTTCTTCAAGCGGCGGAACGGGCTGTTCAAGTGCGCCAGCGACCTCTCCATCCTCACCGGCGCTAGCGTCGCCGTGGTCATCGAGGACCAGAACCGCAGCAAGTTCCACGCGGTCGGGACGCCGACGGTGCAGGCCGTCGTCGACGCCGCCCTCTCAAGCGACGTGGAGGAGGCGGCGGCTGAGGCGCGGCCGGTCGCCGACGAGCAGCTGATGGAGAGGATCGCGCCGCTGGAGAGGGAGCTGGCTTGGCTGAAGGGTGAAGCTGCCGAGAAGGATGAGACGACGAAAGCATCCAAAGCTCGGTTCAAGATGGCCCAGAAGAAGGAGGAGAACGAAGAGGAGGGTGACACGAAGAAGAAGAAGCTCTTCTTCTCCAAGGCCGACAAGCTCAGCTCAGACGAGATGAATGAACTGTTAGCTGAGATGCTTGAGATCAAGAAGGAACTCAACGTGCGGCTACCCCCGCTACGTCGTCGCGGTGGCAAGCGGCCAATCCAGGGCTCTAGCGTGCCACCTCCACCGCCGCCGCCGCCACCACCGCCGCAGCCGGAGCAACAGCTGCAGCTGCCGCAATGGCCGAATCTGTCCGGTCCTCATAACCAGTTGCTTCCTGTGGCGCCGCCGCCATTTGTCGCTGATCAGCCACCTCCACCTCCACCGCCAGCAGCAGGAGGGTCTCTCTGGATCCCTGAGCTGCCTCCACCTCCGGTGGAGGGGTCGCCATGGGCTGGTCTGCTTCCGCTGCGACCACCACGGTTTGCCGGGATGGAGCCATCCTTTCTTGAATCACAGCAAGCTCCGCCTCCGGCACAGGTCAGCACACAGCTAGCACCACTACCTCTGATACGGGAGGAAGCTCCATTGCTGCAGGAGCCATTTCTGTTTGCTGATCAAGCACCAGTACTTGCTCCTCTGCCGGCGCCATTGCAGATGCCTGTGGCAGAAACTCACTTGCCACTGCAGGCTCCATTGCTGCAGGAGCCATTTCTATTCTCTGATCATGCACCGACGCTTGCTCCTCTGCCATCGCCATTGCAGATGCCTGTGGCTGAAACTCACCTGCCACTGCAAGTGCAGGCTCCGTTCATGCAAGAACCATTTCTGTTTTCTGATCAGGCACCAGTGCTTGCTCCTCCGCCGACGCCATTGCAGATGCCAGTGGAAGCTCACATGCCACTGGAGGCTCCATGGATCCAAGAACCATTTCTCATGCCTGATCAAGCACCGGTCCATGCTCCTCCACCAACGCCATTGCTGATGCCAGTGGGAGCTGATCACTTCCCACTCGAGGCTCCATTGTTCCAAGAATCACTTATAATGGCTGATCAGAAATCTGTGCATGCTCTTCCTCCACCTCCATTGCAGATGCCTTTGGAAGCTCACCTGCCACCTGCAGCACAAGAGTATAACCAAGATCTGGCCGTGCAGCAGCAACCCCAAGAGTATGAAAACTATGACTACATGTTTGAGAACGTGGGGCTCTCACAGGCACAGCCGGTGGCCGCTGGCGCCGGCGACGCAGGCTTTGCAGCTATAGGCAACGACGACAACCCGTTCGGCTACCAACAGTTGGTTGCCTCTCCTCTCTATGATGGACAGATCTACTTCGGCTCCGGGGTTGATAACATGGGCGTTCCTCCTGCTGGTGATTTTGGTGGTGTTCCTGAAGCTGCTTTGCCGGAAGTCGAGCATGCGTCTTCGTCCGGTTGGGGAAACAACATTACTGGTGATGCTGGTGCATGGTTCTGAGGAACTAGGAACCGACTGTCTGTCTGTCTGTCTGTCTGTCTGTCTCTTCTTAGATAGCATTTTGGAAAATGCTGATGTGTCTCGATAATTGAGCTTATTTAGTTAGGCCTCTTGGAGGCAAAATAATATTTGTTTGTCGAGGCAATGAGAATAATATATGTGTTTTATTGATGTTGATGAATTTTAGTATAGTTGGCCATGTGGGCCGCCCGGCACGGCACGGCCCAGGCCCGGCCGTGCCTGGGCCGAGGCTTGTCGGGCCGGCACGGCCCGACCGACGCACCGGGCCGTGCCGTGCCAGCCCACGTGCCGCACTCACGGCCCAGGCACGGCCCAACACGCCTCGGGCCGTGCCGGGCCGGCCCGAAGGCACGATGGGCCGTCGTGCTTTTCCTCAGAATAAGTCTAAATTTCCTCCCTCCTATTGGCTGTGACATATGTACAGCTACAAAAAGTCTATTTTACCTCCCTCTTCTTTGGGCTGGGGTATATAAATAGCTAAAATAAGTCTATTTAAGGTCCCTATTCTTTAGACAGTTACATTTATATGTCTATTTTTAGTCCCCATACTTTATGTACCGGGCCTGGCCTGCCGGCCCATCGTGCCGGGCCGGCCCGACCGTGCCGGGCCAGCCCAGCGTGCCGGTGGGGAGGCCCAGGCACGGCCCGACGGTCGGGCCGGGCCAGCACGGGCCCGACCCAAGTCGGGCCGTGCCGTGCTTGGGCCGGGCCAAAAAGGCGTGCCGTGGGCCGGGCCTTCGGGCCTCGGGCCTTATGGCCAACTATAAATTTTAGACTCGTGGCAAAATAATATTTGTTTGTTGAGGCAATGCGAATAATATATGTGGTTTTATTGATTTTGATGAATTTTAGGCTCGTAAAATGTGTGCCTGATAACTAACTTTTTTCTCTCTTTTTTTTTTTACAATAAGAATGAGCACGCACGCACGTACCACTACGCATGCATGTTACATGCACGTAGATATACCCTGTATAGGGCACGTGTGAACTAAACTTGTCTCGCCTCTAGAATTCCTTTTAGTGGGAGGGGTTAGAAAGGTGGGGTCCACATGATGATGCTCTTCATTGAAAACTGCTCACAGTAAACTACTTCCTCCGTATTTTAATGTATAACGTCGTTGACTTTTTGACTAACATTTGACTATTCGTCTTATTCAAAATACGACACAAAGTTCGTGAATATCTCAGATTGGATATTTTAACCAACCACAAAGTTCGTGAAACCACACAATAATTTGTTGATATTTTAATCGACCGTGTTCTTAGAAACAATATGTAAATCACAAAAAAAGTACGCAAATAATGCAATGGAGAATTAGAGCATCCGATGGTCATGAACTACCGATGCGGTATCAATGTACCTCCAACTAATATTACGACAATTATGTCATTTTTCATCTCTTAAGAAAATTATCCTTTTACCCTTCCTACCTAAGTATCTATAGCAATACTTAAATACCTTTTATATGATACCTTTAATTGTGGAGTGTTGGATCTTTGCTATTTTTGGAATGCTTTGGCACAAGTAACTGACAAACCGCATGCATTAATTATCATACTTTATTTTTAAGAAAAAATGAAAGATTTTACAGAGGAAACTGCAATAATGAAAAGTTTCAAGAGACTCCATAATTAGTCTTATCCATGCAAGTGGTTGAAGTTCATCAGATAATGTCCTTGAGCCGTTTACCCTTGAGGTTAACAAGGATGAAAACCTTGTACACTCTCTCTATGAGAATTTGTCAAGTTGTTATCTTACTTAAGGAAATATAAAATTATGTGTTCACGTTCGCCCTAAAAAGCTTAGATTTAGCAAATAAACCAAATAAAAAATATATATCACTTATATTAGCATGGGAGACAATTATATATGATGGTTTAGATTAGACGAAGAATATTATTACTTTCATCTTAAAATATAGGTGTGTTTTGTTTCGTTAGGTCAAGACTTTAACCAATGATTACTCTACGATATAATTTTATCACACAAAATTAATTTATTAATATAAAAAAACTAATTGCTTATGATATTCTAATATTTTCTTTATTACACAAATAATATTCTAATAGAGCAACTGTTGATTAAATTATTGTCTTAACAAAATAAAATACGCCTTTTGAAACATATGTAGTAAATCCCTGTTGAAAAATCGATTTAAAAATATCTAATTCCGTATTAAAAATAGAAAAAAACTGAAAAATTCGAGCCAAATACTATATACGACTAAATGAAAATCAGAATAAAATAAAAATTCAGAGGAAATCTAGGTTTTGCCATCGATAAGTTTTAGAATCTATGTTCTATCATCAACAAGTACAAGTTCTACAAAAATAAATACTATCATACAATCGAATCATCTCTTACTATAAAGTTATAACCCACTAACTCCTAAATCTTAATATGCAAAAATGCCACATCATCATCCACTAACAATCATCAAATTTGAACATAATGCGAACAAGCTATATTATCTATTATTTTATAATTATTAAATTTTAGAGCTTTTAAAATGAAAGCATGCTAAATCATCATCCCACATAATTCACATAATATTTCAATTTATATCTTTATTTTTTTTATAATATGCTATGTACCTATATAGTTCATCCTCACTTCGTCAATGTTATTTCTCTCTTCTCTCATTAAGTCATATCACATCAATTGTTTTTAGTGCTTAAATGATTAATCTATGGTCTAAATTATCTCTCACCTTTTCTTCTCTCATTAATTAAGCCATATCACCTCAACTGTTTTTATCCTTTAGATGATTAATCTACGGTCCAAACTATCTCAATACTTTTCTTCTTTCATAAAGTCATATCACCTTACTTTTACATTTAAATCATCATTCTATATACTATTTAAATTTAAATTATCATAGACCACATTAACTTACGTAATGTTATGTTGTCTAGCTATTTTACACATTATTTTTACTTACTGTTATCATACTAAACTCCCACAGCAACACGCGGGGTTTCACCTAGTTTTTCAAAGAAACGCAACAACACGCGGGATTTCACCTACTTTATCAAAGAAATGCCACCCTGGTCCTCTTTCTTCATGGTATTCCGTTAGCCTATGCAGAAAGACTTTGCCCATGTATGTATGGTTGTTCATGGTTTTTGAAAATTAAACCAATTAACCTGTCAACCCAATCCAAACCAAACCACTGTAAGTGGGTCAAGCCGGTTCATTGGGTTTTAGTTAAAGGTGTAAGAATGCCAATGGGTCAAGTTGAGCTTGAGTAGAACAAGACACCAGACAAAACCAGTCCAATTCGCCCCAATTTGTGCACTCATACATGTGCACTCATTTGTGGTGGCGACGGTAGAACCGCGTGGAGGTCTCAGTTGTATTGGTGGAAGAGGAAGGTCCTACCTTCCTTCCGACAGCTTCTGAAGTACATCCCTAATTTTACTATTGTCCATTCTCAAATATGTTTGTTCTTAGATATGAACTGATATGGTTGATTAATCTTACTTTTTCTCAGGATAGTTTCATTCGTTTGGTATCTGACAATCTGAGGATGTAATAAGAAAAGAGAGGGAGAAAGAGAGAAACAGCATGGAAGCAAAAGTTTAGCTCAAGCCGGTAGCTATGGTGGTGTAGGTTTGCGTGGTGGCTAATCATCAATGTAGGCGGTGAAAGGTGGTAACTGGTGAAGGAGAGGTGGGAGCATCTGAGACTATTTATAATATCTATCGATAAATTTTCTCTAAAAAAATTGTCAGATATAAGTGTAGTGCAACCGTAATGCATTTATATTGTAGTATGTAACTTGCATGTAACTACAGTATAACTTATACGAAACTTTCAAAAATACCATAGTAACAAGCTACTCTTGTGAAGTGGAGGTTGCATCATCAAATCTCCTCACCCATTTGCACACGGTGATTTTTTCCTTCCCTTCTTTCATGTATCTCAAAGCAAATCTAATAGTTCAAAATTATGTGAAAGTCACATAGAAATTATGTTGTAGTCACATGCAACTTATATTGTTTTTACTTTACAAATGCATTGTTTACATCTGACAAATGTATTTTTAAGATAATAGATAAAAGAGTGGTCCAAAGTGAAACATCGGTAATAAAATGATGGCCTAAAGTGAAATTTACTCTATATAAAATCCAACCTTTGTTTCAACAGAAGCTACAACTACTAATCACATTGTTTTTGATAAAAAGCCAAACATGAAAGTATCTAACAAATAATGATGAGAAGACAAATTTGACCAACAAAAGTGAAGAGATATAACTTATATGGAAATCAATCCCTAAAGCCCTTCTATAGTCAGAATTGCTAAATGGTTGTTGGTAGAAAATTGAGACCAAAACTTTGAAAATTTCTAACCTTAGGATTTTCTTCACAATTCATGTTCCAGCGACCCCAACACTTCTCTTCTATCCGGCGATGTCCCTGCGAGTTGCGCTTTAGGGTATTGAGTTGGGGTGAGAGAGGAAATGGGGAGGGGAAAGAGGGAGAACATCGTTTGGCTTAAGAGTGATGACCATGGAAAAAGGCAGCCAAGCGTTGGGCGATCGACATGGGCAGGAGGCGAGGAGCCGGTGCCGATGATGAAGCCGTGGGGATGGAGGAAGGTAGTGGGTCGGTGTTGGCGGCAAGGGCAAACTGAAGCTTGTGCCTAAGAGGAGGATGTGGTTGGTGTTGGCTAATCTAGCCATGGGAGCTGCTAGAGACGTGAACGATGGCTGGGTAAGGCCACCTCGCCGCCATCAGCTTGAGGAGGATGAGAGCTATTGATGGCCAAAAGGGTCGGGGCCCGACGGCCCAGCCCACGGCATGGCCCGAAAGCTGGGCCATGCCTGGGCCTCTTCCTTAGCACGACCAGGTCAAATGATTAGGGAGGCCAAATAGATTAGGAAGGAAAAATAGACTTATTCTAGCCATATAAGGCATGGCCCAAAGATATGAGGGATTCAAAATAGACTTATTTATACCCATATAAGACACAACCCAAGAGATGAGGGAGGAAAAATAGACTTATTCCAAGGAGAACGATGGGCCGGCCTGTTGTGCCTTCGGCCCAGCCCAGCATGACCCTTCTTACTGAACCGTGCCTGAGCTGTTGGTGCAGCCCATGGGCGGGCACAACACTGCCCGACGTATCGATCGGGCCGTGCCTTGTCGTGCTCGGACCGGGCCGGGCGGCCCATTTGGCCAACTACAAGGAAAGCTAGGAAAGGGGATGAGGCCGGTTGTGGGGCCTTGCTGGCACCATTGGCGCATTCTGACCGGCCAATAAGGCTAGACGACGACAGAGGAAGCGGCGGCATCAAGTGGACTCTCAATTGAGTCATGGCGGCAGGGTAGGAGTGAGGAGGGAGGAGATGAGGTGTTAGATAATTGGGTATTGCACAAATGTCAAAGCTATGCAATCGTCTTGACTATATTCAATGGAACAAAACTCGTAACAATTACCACAGAAGCACTTTACTTTTGCTTTTTTTTCTTTTGCGGGGAATGTATTATGCAGTTGTTTCTTAGCTATATATGGGAAAGAAATAAAGAATCACATCACAAATGCGTTTCACAATCTACACTTGATAGAGCTCCTATAGCAAAATAAAGAATCACATCACAACTCTGAAGTTCGTCGTCATCGTCGATCCTCAATTCCTTGCAGCCTCGCAGCTAGGAGAGTTCGAGGATCCCGGTTGACCAGTCAACGCCGTTGACCTGCCACCGGCTTCGTCAGAGCCGCCGTGTATGGTCACGACCACGGTAATTCCTCCGTCACCGAGCGACGACGACGACTGCGCCGTCGCCGTCGCCGCCGCCGAAGCCCTCGCCTTGGGTACTTCCGCCTCGGCCCGGCAGAGCGGGCACGTGGTCCTGGAGCGCAGCCACGCGTCGACGCACTCCACGTGGAAGACGTGCCGGCAGTTGGGCAGCTCCCGCACCTTCTCGCCGTCGGCGAGCTCCGACAGACACACGGCGCAGTCGGCGGCGGTGGCGCCAGGCCCGCCGCGGTTGGAGCCCTCCCCACCACCGCCCCCGCCGCCGTTCTTCCGGTACGCGGTGACCGGCAGCGCGGCGAGCGCGGACGCGTCCAGCCCGCGGCGACCGCTCACGCCGAGCGAGTTCAACGACCGCAAGATCCCCCCTGCCAGGCCGCCACGACGACGGCCTCCGCCGCCACCGCCGGGCCGCACCACGAGGTAGTACAGCAAGACGCGGGTGACGGCGAAGACGACGGCGATCACGAACAGGATCACGACGGCCGTGAGCAGCACGCGCCCGCTGAAGTTGTAGCTCTGCTGCTGACTCCACGAATCCTCCGACCTCGCCGCCGGCGGCGCGCCCGACAAGGCTGTATCCGACATGACCAAACTATCCCTTATCCTCTAAATCTTCCACTCTTTCTGCTGCTACTAATCACTAACCTAACTTGCAAGACCAGAGCAAAGCCCTACTACTACTACTACCTCGCCGCCGGTTTAATCAACACCGGATAAGCTAACCTTGGGTTAGTAGACGAGCAGGTCAACATGGGGATTCCGTCACTGTCATCACCAACGAGTACATCTGTACATGGCAATTACTTGCTTTGCTTTGTTCAACGTTAGACGTTTTTAGCCTCGAGAATGGTCGTCCGGTCTCTGTCTGCCGATTTTGCATTCGACGAACAGGAGCAGTTAATGTTGAAATGAACGAGATATTTAAGCGTACTTGGATGAGACGTCGCTGTTCGGTGTAATTACCAACCTGCATCAAGGAAGGGGACAGGAAGGTTCAATGGATTGAGGAGTCAAAAAACTCTTCTGCCGACTGTCTTGTGGTGTGCAACCGCGGACCGGAATTCGAGTGTTTTGAGATGCCTTTGGGCCTTGGCCGACAATAAGGTTTCTGTGGGCTGTACGGTCCGAGTGTTGGGCTGCGCAGGCAATACTCGCGTGCAAAGTGGGCCGGCGGGGCGACCCATGAGGGTGAATCTATTGGGCTCTTCTGCGGAGGCTGGGTTGGGCTGGAACGGGTTGGGACTTGCCTTTTCGGAGTGCCGCCGGTGACTGGCGTTTGGAGGTTTCAGTGTTTCACCCAGACTGAACGGGTCGGGATCGAGAACGCTAATACGCGATCAGTCGCGCGCGTCCTCTCTCGCGCGACTGGACACGTGTCGCGCGTGGAGAGTGGCACAGGCGGTGGCACGGTTTTTTTTTTTTTTTCGGTTTCCTTTTTTTCCGCACATTCCTTTTTTTTTTGTTTGTTCTGTTTTTTTCCGTGTTTTTTTTCGAACGGTTTCTTTTCTTTTTCGGTTTCCTTTTTTCCCGCACGTTCCTTTTTTTTTTTTGTTTGTTCTGTTTTTTCCGCGTTTTTTTTTGCACCGTTTTTTTCTATCCATATTTTTTTTCCAGTTTTTTCGGTTTTTTCATATGTATGTGTAAAAAGTTTGTATACATGTAGGCAAAGTTTGTATACACGTATAAAAAAAAGATACGGAGAGAAAGTTTGTATATGTACGTATACAAAGTTTGTATACACGTATACAATCTTTATATACGTGTATATAAACTTTGTGTATATACATATATATAAAGTTGGTATATTTTATATACATACATATATAAACTTTATATACAACGAATACAAACTTTGTATTTGTATACATCGTATACAAATTTTATATTTGTGTATATACTTTTTATACATATACACAAAAAATATAAATATACAATATATATATATATATATATGTATGTATGTATGTATGTATGTATGTATGTATGTATGTATGTATGTATGTATGTATGTATGTATGTATGTATGTATGTATGTATGTATGTATGTATGTATGTATGTATGTATGTATGTATGTATGTATGTATGTATGTATGTACTGACCACGCGTCGCGCGCCGCGCGCGACTGATCGCCGATCAGCCATCCCCGGTGGGGATTGGTTGGTTTTCTATCCTTTAATTCCCTCCGTGTTTTTTCTAGGTTAATTTCAACTGCTTCGCGTTCGGTGATCTCTTTGTTGGCTTCTGCAGGATTTAATTTACTTAAGGACCTCTGCTAGAAGGTGCATATCAATGCCTATACGTACGGAAGATCGACGTTTCATGGAGTTAGTTGTAAGTAATCTCCCCTATAATCCCCGTCCAACACAAGAAACGGGTTCACATCCCCTACCATTATAACATTATTATTATAAACACTGTCAGGTGTGGCAATAGAAGGGTGAGACCCACACTAGTGACTATAATGATAGTGAGATTATGGTAGAGGATCCTCACCCATAAGAACCACACAATGCCAACTTATATATGAAAAAAGTCTTATATACTATCTATTATATTATTAAAACAGTCTTGAAAGAAGGCACCACGTTCGTTGTGGGGGCTAGAAATTTCCACATTAATCAAAAGAAGAGTCCAAGTAGAAATACAATCTAAAATTAGCTGAAATTTGAAATTAAAAATAAGTAATATTGAAAGAAGTGTCCATATAAGAACCCAATACGAGATTAACTAAAATTCAAAATAAAAATAAAATAAAATCCGAAATTAGAAAATAAAAGGAGAGTCGAAGTAGGAATATAATTTAAAAATAACTAAAATAAGGAATTAATAATATTTTTCTAGAAAATAAAAAAGGATTTTCAACAAAAGTTATGTTCGATTTTTAGAATCCCAATGGCAATAAATAATAGGCGGCTGATAGACCGTAGAGGAGTATAGTGGCATCGTTTGGCAGGACTTTAAAAAATATAAAAAATAAAACCCAACAAGTCAATAAACTCTAAAAATTATAAGGTCTAATTTTTAAAGGATCAGAACTTCTAAAAAGTAAAAAAAACAATGATAATCATGTTCGGTTTTAAATCTCAATGACAATAAAGAAGGGAGGCAGCGGGCGAGCCATAAAGGAGTACAATAACAATGCCGCTGACGGTTTGGCGGGACTTATAGAAAGTAAAAAATAAAACCGAACGATAATTATGTTCGATTTGTAAAATCCTACTGACAATAAAGAGAAAAGACAGTGGACGGGCCATAGAGGAGTATAATGGCAGCGTTTGACGGGACTTCTAGAAGTTATAAACACGAAACCCAACGAGATAATAAACTCAAAAAACTATAAGATCCAATTTTAAAAGATTTCAAGAAGAATGATTAGAAATAGTGATAGACCGAGCAAGGAAATAAAGAAGGATATGACAGAAGTAAGGGGTAGCAATTGGTGTGACTTTTAAAAACTATATAATTAGAAAAACGGGGAAAGCTATTTAATACTGAAAAATATATAATTTTGTTTGGGTGCTAGCCGCGCAATTGCGCGGGCCACCCAGCTAGTTATTTTACTAAAATAAAGTTTTTTATTTGTATACTGTCTTTAGCAAAGAAGTTTTTCTTCTTAGGGGCGTGCAGGCGGTTGGGGCGGGCAGTTTCCCTCCCCAAGGGACCATTCAAAAGAAAAATAATAGATAATTTGAACTAAAAATGACAATATTTATGAGAAAATAAAAATATATAAACATTGTACACATAACTTGTATAGAAAATATCTTGTATAAAAAGAATATTTTGATTCGAATCTAAATTTAAATCGGGTGCATAAACTTTCGGCGTATAAATTTTAAGCATATATACTTTCGGTGTATGAATAAACTTAGGAAAAAAAAACTTTGTACATATAAAGACCTTTGCGGAATAATATCATCAAAAATGCAACCCAAGCATTTAACATGGACATGATACTGATTACTATACAACACAAAACTCTCGGTTGTACTTGGGATTCAAGTCGGACATACCACAGGTATAAACTCTAATGGTGTGTTTGGATGGTGGGTTTTGGGTGGATAAGACATGACGGTCCCTTTTTTTGGGTGTTTGGTTGGTGGGTGGAGGTGGGATAGGACGACCCGGAGGGGAATATTCCTCCCAGATGCCGGATGGAGGGATCCGGCCGATTTGCCTGGACGCAGCCGCCAGAGTGCCCAGGCGAGCTGGACGACCAACCGAGGTGGATCGCGTCACCCCTCACCACGCAAGCGAGCGAAACGATGGAGCGAATTAGGCGGCGGCCGGCGAGCAAGGAGATGCGCCGGTGGCTGGCGAGAAGAGCAAGCCAGCGGCCGGCGAGAAGATGGAGGATGACTTTTTTTTCCTTTTTCTTGTTTTTCTCCTTTTCCTCTTTTTATTTCTTCGTGATTTTTTTATTTCTCTTTAGATTTGTTTATTTGTATTAGATTTATAATAATTTTGTGGCTTTTATGAATATGAAGGGGTATACTCACCGCCTCTAATGAAGGGGTGATTGTAACCATTCATCCTTCCTAGCTCTCTAACCAAACAAAAAAATAGATCACCAAATCCACCTTCATCCCTAGAACCAAACAAAAAACTGATTCGCCATATCCACTCAACGAAACAAAAAATAGATCGCCATATCGATCAAAATCTGGGCCACCATATCCCATCCAACCTTGACCGTCAACCAAACGCACCCTAAATCATGCACATATCGGTTGGGCATGGTATTGTGGGTTGGATTTTTGCACACTCACCTGTCACCACTGCACATAGACACCCCCACTCTCTACCCCAACTTAGTAATATATGTGTATGCATAGTATTTGTGGATACCACAATTTCAATTCTAATAGGTCTAGTTTTTCCATGACTATCATAAGGGCCAAAGTTAGGGAGGGGCGGAGGGAGGCCTGGCCTCCCCCAATGATGCATATCTATCAATCTATCTATCTATTATATTATTAAAACAGCTTTGAAAGGAGACACCACGTTCGTTGGGGGGCTAGAAATTCTCACATTAATTGAAGAAAAAGAAAAGAAGAGTCCAAGTAGAAATATCATTTAAAAATAGCTGAAATTTAGAATTAAAAAAACAATATTAAAAAAGAGTCCATATAAGAACCCAATACGAGATTAATCAAAATTTAGAATAAAAATAAAATAAAATCTGAAATTAAAAAAAAAAAGAGAAGAGACCATGTAGGAATACAATTTAAAGATAATTAAAATTTGGAATTAAAAATAAGCAATATTGAAAGAAGAGTTCATATAAGAATCCAACTCAAGATTAATTAAAATTTAAAATAAAAATAAAATAAATCCGAAATCAGAAAAAAAAATAAAGGAAGAATTCACGTAGGAATAAAATTTGAAAATGACTAAAATTCGAAATTAAAAATAAGCAATATTGAAAGAAAAGTCCATATAAGAAACTAGCACGATATTAATTAAAATTCAAAATAAAAATTAAAATAAAATCATATATTATAAAATATTAGAAAGAGAGTTCAAGTAGGAATACAATTTTGAAACAATTGAAATTGGAAATAAAAAAAGAAATATTAAATTAATAGTCTATATAGAACATAATATGAGATTGATTAAAATTCGAAATAAAAATAAAATAAATTCAGAAATTAGAAAAATAAAAATAAGAGCTCAACTAGAATACAATTATAAATAACTAATTTGTAGTAAAAAAAACAAAGACTGTTGAAATAAGAGACAATCTAGAACACATGACGAAAATAATTAAAGTTCTAAATAACAAATAAAATAAATTTTAAAAATATAAAAATAATTATAATAGTTCAAGTAAGAATATAATTTATGAATAAAAGTTATCAGAGTGAAAAATGTATAATT